TGAGTGGGTGAGTACGTGCGAGATGGCCATCATCAGCATCATCAGCATCATCAGCATCATCAGCATCATCATCATCATCATCATCATCATCATCATCATCATCATCATCATCATCATCATCATCATCATCATCATCATCATCATTATCATCATCATCATCATCATCATCATCATCATCACCGTCATCATTGTCATCATCAGTATGAGCATCCTGATCACCATCATCATCAGCATCAGCATCATCGTCATCATCATCACCATGATGATGGTAGAGATAATGATGATAATAATGATAATGATGATGGTGATGATAAGGATAATGATGATAATGAGGAGGATGCTAAGGATGATGATGATAATGATGACAATGATGATAATGATAACGATGCTGATGATAATGGTGTTGGGAATGGTGGTAGTTTGAGTGTGAATCGGTGAGTGTGGGAGATGAGACTACTGCTGATGATGATGAGCATCATGCCTGATGATGCTGATGATGATAACGATGATGATGGTGGTGATGATGGTGATGATAATGACGATCGTGATAATGATCATGATCATGATGCTGATGATGATGAGGATGAGGATGAGGATGATGGTGATGATGAGGATGAGGATGAGGATGAGGAAGAGGATGAGGATGAGGATGAGGATGATGACGATGATAATGATGGTGGTGGTGATGATGTTGATGATGAGGATGAGGATGAGGATGGGGATGAGGATGAGGATGAGGATGAGGATGAGGATGAGGATGAGGATGAGGATCATGATGATGATGATGATGATGATGATGATGATGATGATGATGATGATGTGGTTGGGGGGTGATGAGTTTGAAAAAGAGCGGGGGGGGACGATAGGGCTGCGCCACGTGTCCAGAGAAACCTAGAGACCCACGTAGACTTTGAGGACCCCCGCTTGTCTGGGGTTGAAAGGCTTGTGAAATGATTAGCTGTTCCCCTTCCCCTTTCCATCTCCCCTGGGGCCTGCAATCCGATTAAAAGGGGGAGGCGTGGGATGGGGGGGCTGGAGCTCCTAAATGCATCCCCAGCGCATCCGGACCCTCTCCAGAGCCTCACGACGGCCCACGAGGGCCTAAACAAAGCGCTCAGACATTCTACATAAGCGTCGCGATGACCCAAGGTAGACCCACGATGGTCCCAGATGGCTTCGAGACGGCCCACGTTGCCCCAAAACAGCCCAAATGCTCCCAGAGGACCGCCGAGAGAGCCCAAAGAGGCCAAAATCGCCCCATTATCTCAGGAAACCTTACATGTTAAGCATACTCGCTATTTCGCCTTCACGGCGCCCAAGACGACCCAAGGGGCCCCCAAGATCGCCCCAAGACGCCCCATGAGGCCCCCAAGAGGGCTCCAAGACGGTCCAATGGGACCCCAAGACGACCCAAAGACGGCCCCAGGGGCCCCCAAGACAGCTCCAGGGAGCCCCACGAGGGCTTCAATATAGGCCCACGGAGCGAATACGAGCTGACATACCGAACCCTTCCCTTCGCGATGTGACCCAAGAGCCCCTCACCGGCCCCCGAGGCGCCCCCAATAAGCTCCAAGAGGCTTCTAAGAGGGCCGCAAGGCGCCCCCAGAGGCCACAACAGGCGCGTCTTCTCCCAACGGTTCATTCCCATCAGATTGAATGTCCTGTTCCACTCCCCTCTCCTATCCTATATCCATCGTCATCTTCGTTATGCACATCCTCCTCGTCGTACTCGACTCCCACCTCCTTTTCTGTTCCCTCTGCTCCTGCGTCTCATCTCTGGCTTGCCCTGCTCGTGTTCCTCGTCCTCCCCTCTGCTATATCAACGGCCCAAGACTGGCGGAGACGGCCCGAGACCGCCCCAGAAGCTCCCATTAGATTCCGAAGGGGAGAGGAGGACGAGATAAGATCTGTTCTGTCCGACAAGACTTTGCGAAGACCAAAAGCAAGTCAGTCGAAACCGCGGACACGGAGTGCCGAGGCGTGCGAAACATGTAACTAGATTCCCGCATCTCCTCTCCCCTGGTGTCCCACCCGAGGATAACCCAAAGAGAACACGAAGACGCCTTACAAGAGATCAAAGGCGACCCGAGAAGCCACCAAGATATCAACGAAGGACCGCAACCCCCAAGACGAAGAGGAAGCGTAGAACTCGACAATTTCTGGAGCCCTCCCACACGCGGCACCCACAAACCCCGAACATCCCCCTCTGTGTCCCCAGAACGCCCCGAAGAAGCGCCCAGAGAACTCAGAAACGCCCCCAAGAATCCCCGCACCAGAAGCCAATCCTCTTTCAAAATGCTTCGACGTGACCGTCGTCCTCCTCGTCCTCATCATCCTCCTCCTCGTCCTCCTCGTCCTCCTCCTCCTCCTCCTCCTCCTCCTCCTCCTCCTCCTCCTCCTCCTCCTCCTCCTCCTCCCCCTCTCACTCGTTCTCCTCGTCCTTGTCGTCGACGTTACCACGCTGATCCTGACCCTCCCAGGGGTCAGCTGAATGGCGCAAGCCCATCGAATGTAATACTACTCGACGTGGAGATCCCCATATGCGCATCCCCGACCCTGGCACTCCTGTCTTACGAGCGTCCGGGCGAGAGAGCACTCGCCTCTGGCGACCAAGCGCTCCCCGGTGGTTCCCCCTGGAGCGCCCGAATGCTATGCCTGCTGCATCGTGATGTTCTTGTTCTTGAGACTCTGAAGAGAGAGGGGCCGGGGGTGCCCAACCTGGTGCTTCGCCCGAGGGGGCCCACGATCTGGGTGCGAACTGGCAGGTGCACTCCTACTTGGCGGCTCCCACTTGGGGTGGACACAAGTCATGCCTACTGCATCGCAGTGATCACGGGATGCTCCAAGCATGGGAGTCGGAGCCGCCGAACGAAACCCCCTCGCTGGAGACACGTTCACAATCTGAGCACGAACGGGTACTGCGCGTAATCCCCCCCGGCGGCTCCCCCTTGGCGTGGCCACGTGCCACAACTGCTACACTGCGATGATCACGGGGCTCTCGAGGCAGAGGCGTCGGAGCCACCAGACGAGCGCGCCGCTCAAGATGCCACGCCTGCCAGACCGCGGCGGCCGTGGGGCTCCCGACGAGAGAGAGAGAGAGAGAGGAGCCCAGGCCGCCAGGCGAGCGAAGCCCTCGAGGTACTCCCACGAGTCTGGGCACGCCCGGGCCCGTGAGATACCCTCCGGCGGCTCCTCCTCGGGGTGCCTATAGATGCCGCGCACAGGCCATACCGCGCTGATCCTCGGGCATTCCACAGAGGTCGGGCAGGGCCTGCGGCCTCGCCAACCCCCAAAGCACTGTCCCCTGCCGCAGCGTCGTCCCCGCCTTTCGGGCTCCCCTCCGGCCGCATGCACATGTCTGGGGGGGAGGCGAGGCGAGGGGGACGTTACGCAAGGGGATGGTTTGCTAGGGGATTGTTAGGCCGCCCCTGAAGAGAGGAGGAGGAGGAGGAGGAGGAGGAGGAGGAGGAGGAGGAGGAGGAGGAGGAGGGGGGAGGAAGGACAAGGAGGAGGAGGAGGAGGGAGGAAGGACAGGAGGAGGAGGAAAAGGAGGAGGAGGAGGAGGAGGAGTCGAAGTCAGAAAGCAAGCAAACCACTCGAGACCGCCCCACCATCCGGGCGCGAACGGCTCCTTGTGATGCCCCCATGGCAGCTCCTCCTTCGGGCGCCCCGATGCCAGGCCTGCTGTGCCGCGCTGATCACTGGACTTTCAGAACAGCGAGGGAGGAGGAGGAGGAGGAGGAGGAGGAGGAGGAGGAGGAGGAGGAGGAGGAAGGAGAAGGGGGAGGCAGGAGAGGAGGAGGAGGAGGAGGAGGAGGAGGAAGGAGGAGGAGGAGGAAGGAGAGGAGGAGGAGGAGGAGGAGGAGGAGGAGGAGGAGGAGGAGGAGGAGGAGGAGGAGGAAGGAGAGGAGGAGGAGGAGGAGGAGGAGGAGGAGGAGGAGTCAAAGTCAGCAAGCGAGCGGAGAGCCGCTCGAGGCACCCCGGAGACTGGGCGCGGACGGGCCTGTGCCTGGCGGCTCCTCTCTGGGGGGCGCCCCGACGCCATGCCTGCTGCAGCGCGGTGGTACCGAGGCTCGCGGAAGAAAGGAATCGAAGTCACACAACGTGCGAACCGCTCGAGAGAGACGGCCCCACGGTCTGGGCGCCAACGGGCACGTGCGGTGCTCCCCGGTGGCTCCTCCCTGGGGCTCCCAGATGCAGTGCCTGCTGCACCGCGGTGAGACGAAGCTCAGCATGAGTGCATCAAGGTATGAGTGGTCTGTGTCTGAGTGAGAGTGGGCGTGAGAGAGTCTCAGCGCATCTGGATACGAATGGGTCTGACGTGAGAGAGTCCACGTCGGGTGTGAGTGAGCCTGAGCGTCAGCGAGTCTGAATGTCAGTGAGTCTGGATGTCAGTGGATCTCAGTGTGAGTGGGTCTGGGTGTGAGTGAATCTGAGTGTGAGTGAGTATGAGTGTAAGTGAGTTTGAGTGCGAGTGAGTGTGCGTGTGAGTGGTCTGAGTGCGAGTGAGTCTGAGTATGAAGCGGCCTGAATGAGTGAGCCTAGGACTCCGTGAGTGGGAGGACGTGGAAGAGCAGAAGGCCGAGGCGGCACTCTGGTAACAAGAACACTCTACTTACGATGTGGGCAAAAAGAGGCAAATGAGGAAGGATGGAGAGGGGATGAGAGGGGAGGGGCGGAGAAAAGAGGGAGGAAGGGGAGGAGAGGCTGACGGCGGAGGCAGGAGGGAAGGGGTCATCCTTCCTGCATCCTTCTCCTCCCACCTCTACATCCACCGCTTCCTCCTCCTCCTCCTCCTCCTCCTCCTCCTCCTCCTCCTCCTCCTCCTCCTCCTCCTCCTCCTCCTCTTCCTCCTGCCTCCTTTTCCATCAATCCCAGCTCGGATCGATGCGGAAGGGTTGGCAAACCCCAACATCCGGTGAACTCGAGGCCGTGCGACGTCAGCGTGTGCGGGTGCGAGGTCGTGCTCGCCATCCGCTGGACCGTGCGTGAGAGCGTGCCTGCGGAGGCAGGAGGGAAGAGCGCGGAGAGAGAAGGAATGATAAGGAGAAGTGCGGAGGAGAAGGGAGGAGGAGGAGGAGGAGGAGGAGGAGGAGGAGGAGGAGGAGGAGGAGGAGAGGAGAGGAGGAGAAGGTAGGAGGAGAAGGTAGGAGGAGTGGAGAGGGGGAGGGAGGCGGCACGGCTTTGCAGGTCGTCTGCAGGTCGCCCGAGGTGCATTTGCTCGGCGCGCCTAGCTCTTTGAGCCAGAACTGAGCTCTGTGCTGACGCGTGGGGGCGGATGCCCTGAACGACAAGGACAGCCCTGCCGGTGGCAGGCGATCCTGACTCCACGGCTGCGGCGCCACCTTTGGGCGGCGGCGCCGCGAGAAACGCCACGCCTTGCGGCGGAGCGAAGCCCGGATGGCCGGCAGCGCGCCGCCCACCCACAAGGAGGCCGCCCCCGGCCACCCAAGCGCGCGCAAGATGCAACGTGCGCGCGCCGTGCGTGCGCGTGCCCGTCCGCGGGGAACGCTCCAGGCACCCCCCCCCAGAGGGCACGCCCGCTCTCAAAAAGCGCCTCCCTGGCGACTCCCGGAGCGCCCGCCCTCCCCGACGGCGCCCCCGACGAAAGGGGGGGATAGCAAAGGGGGCGTTTGAGAATCAGCTCACGTAGCTGATTTTCCCGGCGCCTCACGGCGCCGGAGGCGACTGTGTATCGAGGAATGGGCCCCTCGGAGGGGCCGAACCCAGCTACATGCAGCAAATTTCGTAACCCCCCCTTTCCCAATCCACCCCTTTCGTCCGGCCCGAGGATCGGCGGCACTGGCCGGAGGCCACTGCAACACGCAGCGCGCGTGCGCGTGCGCGCGCGCGTCCGTCCGCGGGGCCTCTGCGCCCGCCGAGGGCGCCCGAAGGGCGCCCGCAGGGCGCGGGCGGGGGGGGCGTCCAGGCCGCGGGCGACCCGCGCCGGGAGGAGGGCGGGGAGGCCCGGGGCGAGGAGGCCAGCGGCAGCGCACAGCTCGGGCAGCCAGGCGGGCCCGCGGGCCCCCCCTGGGGTCACCTCCACTTGCCAGCGCTCGGACGTTCTGTTGTCCCGTGTAGCTTTCGATGGCGTGCGCAAAGGTTATCGACGACGACCCTAGATGCTCCTCAGAATGGTTTCGCCGAGGAGCGCATGCACGCGCCAGAGCGATGCCGAGGCCCACCCGCGGAGGGATGGAGGGGGGAAGGACGAGCACAGGAAGGGATGAAGATGAAGGGGCCCTGGGACACACAAGTAAATAGACACAAATAACAGGATCTCCCATATTTGCCCATATTTGCTGCGTCTTCGTCTTCCCCCCCACTTCCCATGTTTTCCTACATTTTCTGGGGAATCGACGATTAATTGTGTCTGCGTGTTTTCTCCCTCCTGGAGAGAGAGGGGGGGGGGAAGGGCACAGCGTCGAGAGGGGGGGGGGGCGGCCAACTGCAGCCCTGGAGGCTCGCGACCCCGACGGGAGGGGGCTCCGCCGGGGGCGGGGCCCCGCGAACGGGGGCGGCACGGCGCCTCGCGCAGAGCGGAGCCGAGGGGCCGGGCGGAGCGACCGGCGCGCGGCTGGTCCTCGGCCGCTCTGGCGCGGGCCTCCTGGAGGGTGGCCCCCCGGCAGCGGTGGAAGGCACAAGGCTTGTGGATGCCACGACACTGGACACCCTAATTAGCAATCCGATCATTGAATGCAACATGTGTCTAAAGTGTAGGGAACATGTTTGATACATGTTTTAGACACCTGGAACTTACTTGGCAGCATGCTTCCTCTCCATCGATCGCCCTCCACAACACACGGCGGGCTGGCGCTCGGCCGCACGAGCCGCGCGGTCGCGCGCGGAGTGGCACACGCCCAGGGCGCGGCGCTCAGCCTGCGACTGGAGAACCTCCTGGATGGACAGGGGGGCACGGGTGAGAGGGCGTGGCCGGCGGCCGAGGCGACGGCGAAGGCGAGCGTCGCGGCCGCGCTGTCCTCCTCGTCCTCGTCCTCGTGCTCGTCCTCGTCCTCGTCGTCCGCGGGGGTTTGGCATCAGCACGGGCGTTGTCCGCGTCTTCGACGGTCGCCGTGCAAGCGCAAGTGAAGCAGGCGGCCGTGCAGACAAGTAAGCACACAGCGCAGCGCATGGAGGCAGGTGCGCCCTGGTCGAGGTCGACGACCTCTGCCTGTCCCCCAGTGAGAGGTAGGCGTCAGGGGCCTGCGCCTTCCCCTTCCCCGCGCGCGCGTGCGAGGCGCGCGGCAGATGGGGCCGACGGCATGCGACGGCGGGGCGGCAAAGTCGGGTCCGCGGATGGGCGCTGGGCACACTTGCGGTGCAAGCGCAGTGAGCGCTGCCCCGCGCGCGCGCGTGCGAGGCGCGCGGCAGATGGAGTCGACGGCATGCGACGGCGGGGCGGCAAGGTCGGGTCCGCGGATGGGTGCTGGGCACACTTGCGGCCCAAGCGCAGCAGGCGCTGTGGCCACAGGGGGCTGGCCACGGCGGGCGCGGCCAGCGCCGGGGCGGGCGGCGGGGCGCGAGTGCGGAGCGACAGCACGTGTGCCACGGTCACGGTCGACGGCCTTCTGGGGCCCGAGCCTTTCCCGCGTCGGGAGGGGGGGCTGGGTCGTACGAGGCGCGCCGTGGTCGGGGTTGACGGGAGGAGCCGGCCCTGCGGGAAGGGCGTCTTCGGTGGCCCTTCGGGAGGGCTGACCGGCAGCCGCATGGGCGACCCATGGAGGGGTTGGCCACGGCTGGGTCTTTAGATCGACAAGGCAAAGAATGTGATGCACTGCGCTGCGTGGCCGACGGCGCAGCGGGACGCACCCAACCACCTCCACTGCCAACGCTCGCAGTCGTGTTGGACGAGCGCGAAGGGTGGCAGTCCTTACCCAAACGCGCTGGACGCGGGCGTGACCTGACTGCGACAAGCGCTAGCAGCATAGCGGTTTTCGACCACCAAACAATTCCCAGGTGGCCGAAGCATAGCTGCGCGGACTGGCGAGTGCGGAGGCCTTGTGCCTGACTGCCGCACTCGACCCGCCCTCTGGCGGACAAGCTGTTGGGACGTTTGGAAGGCCTCGTCGCGGCAAGAGAAAAAGCGAGACCGCCACGACGACGCCCTGGGGCTGGAAACCGCCGGTGCAGAGTTAGATGCCCTTTGTTCACGCGGCCCCTTGTCCAGGAACACCCTCGGGTCACCCGCGAGGATCGGCAAGAACTCCAGCCGCCTGAGTTGCGCTGCTCGGGCGAGGACTGCTTGGTGCGGACGCGGCGAATCATACACGTAGCGATGCCCGCGGTCACCATGGTAGTGGCGTCCGCGAAGTTGGAAAGGTGGCCGACGAGGGAGATGAGAATCTCGACGCGCGCCCACGCATGGAAGACGGTGCAGCTCATGCAGAAAACGAAGTCAGCAGGCTCGCTTGCGGTGCCAGGGCAACGCCGCGCCATGCGCCGCCGCCACGACTCTCGCACGCAGTTCCTGATACCGCTCGGGGCAAGCGGCTGGGGACGGAGGATGGAGGGGGAGGAAGGAGCGAGGAGGGGAGATGCGCAACTCGTCCAGGCCCCGATGTTACAAGCGCCCCGCAGGCCTACTTCACAAGGCGGGAGGTGCCGCGTACGAAACAGGGGTGGTGGGATGACCCCCACCTTGCGCGGCTTATAGGGGGGCCCGTCTGGAGAGCACTTATGCAGTGCCCAGGCCGCTCCAGGGCCCGTCTGCGCACCCGTGGCAGCAGCTCCGCTTTGTACATGCACGATGGCATGCGTGATGCGTCGCATGGGAAAAGTGAGCGGCGCCGCCTTGGGGCAGTCCCCGCAGTGGCCCCACGCATTGGATTTACGGAACAGGCGCAAAACAGTCCGCGGAGATCGCTCAAAGGGAAGGTGGCACTGGCGTGCCAGTGGCAAGCATCTAGACGCGCCTGCTCGCTCGCCTGGGGAGACGTTCCAGGGCGAACGGGCGATCGGGCCTGAAGGGCGATCCAGGCGGCCCGTGCTCCTTGCACGTCAGCGTCGAGCTGGCGTTCGCCGACATGCTGGCCGAAACTCGCATCCCAACCCCCAGTGAACCAATGCGGTTTGTGGAATTAGGGCGGAGCACGCATCCCACCCCAACTGGGCCATTGCGGCTCGCGGACGCAAGGCGAAGCTCGCACCCCACCTCCAATGGGCCAACGCGGCTCGCGGAAATAGACCGACGCACGCATCCGAACTTCAGCGGGCCCATGAGGATCGCGGATATATTGGCCCATGGACCTAGTAGCTCTCGAGGCAGCATTCGAAGCGGAACTCGCCCCGCGCACGGCCGCCAGGGTCGATCTGCTGCTCCGAATCGCGCAGCTCAGCGATGCGCAGCTGGTAACCGTCGCGGTGGTCGACGAAATGGCACTGGAGACAATGCTGGCCCCACTCGCGGCCTCGGGAGTTGAGCTGCTGCTCCCCGACGCGACGCCCAGAGTCGGGATGCCACTGCTGGTCGCGAGGCTCAGCAGCGCGGCGCCGGAAGCAATGCCGGCGCGCGCCAGGGCGCCGGCGCCCCCGATGGCGCAGCTCAGCGACGCGCTGCTGGCGCACGCCGCGGCTGTCAGCCACGCGCTGCTCAACGCCGAGATGCCACCGGCCGTCGCACAGCTCAGCAACGTGGCGCTCGAGCCAATGCTCGCCCCGCTGGCGCGCGCCAGGGCCAAGCTGGCGCTCGCCGACGCGCCGATCAACGGCGCGCCGCCGGCGCCTGTCGCGGCGGCGAGCGACGCAACAGTCAAGGCTGTGATCGCCCCAGTCGCGGCCATCAGGAACCAGCTGCTGCTGTCCGACGCGCTGCCCAAAGTCACCGTTCCCGTCGCGCTGTTCAGCGACGCGGTGCTCGATGCAGTCGTACTCCCACACATGGGCGTCAAGGGCGAAGCGTTGTTCCCGTCCGCGTTGCTCGACGATGAGCAGCCGGCGCCCGTCGCGACGGCCCGCGACAAGGCGCTCGAATCACTGCTCGCCCAGCTCGTGGGCGCCAGGA